AAGAGATTACAAAATATATAACAATTTTCCAGAAACAATTAGAGTATGCCTCATACAGAAATTAAGTTTCTAGACCAATTCTGTCGAAGGTACAAAATGGACAGAACCTATTGCATAACATGAGAAAAAAATAATAATAATTGAACAAATACACCACTAATGAGGACCATTCGTCTAGAACGAGGAAATCCGTTTAGATTTTTGGTTTATTCTTCAGTAGCGGCGGAAATACAATTATGTATTACATATTTCCCGGATAATTTTGTATATTTCATCCAGTTGCGGATGCCGGATAGGCAAATAGAATGCCATTGAAATTTTTTTTTATAAAAAATCTGATCTAAAGTGTCACTTTCTCAAGAAACACTCTAAGCATTATAGTTATTATTTTAATTTCGTCCAGATTCTATAGTTGCCCTCAAAGCATTCTCTGGCATCATGAAAAGGAGAGAACTATTGGATTTTCATCGGACCTTCACGCTAGCGATTTCCATTACTCATCGAAAAATTTAAAAGTCAAAACATCCAACAAAAACCTATACCGCGCCCATTCTATTCCGACTCTGAAAGGAATAGGGAAATAATAATGACGTTTGCACACTCAGCAAGATCCTTTGAGTTCATAGTTTGATCGGATTGTATTCGAAAGAAAGTCAATAAGTAATCGAGTCGGAAAGCGTTTATGAGGGTCTGTGCATGGGACCGCTTCGAGGCCGGTCGTGTGAAAAATGTTTATTTTTATAGGGGGCTCAACGCTATTGAATAAGGAGGAAGACATTAAATATTACTTCGGATAGATTAGGGATGATGCTATTTGCGGTCAGGATATCCGATAAATATGATTATAAACGGATATTCTTGCTGTTATCGGCGCGGTTCAATCAGAAGGGCAATACAAGTTATTTTAGGATTTTCTGCGATTGCTCATTCATCAACGTTTGCGTCCAGTTTATAGGCCACGTGAGTAAATACTCTGCCATTATCAATGGTTATTTAGGATTCAATGGATAACAATACGGAAATCACTCTCTCGACTTAGGAGGCCAAAGTGATTCCCCCATTCCCATACTGCTGCAGGACAACGATCGAAGTAAAAATGAGATATGTATTTCGGAGCATTAATTAACATTAATGAGCTTCGATCGAGAATATGGCACTTTTCCAGATATGTAATTACATAATATACTATTTTGTTTTGTTTACTTCACCTTAACAATGATTGAATTTTCTTTTTTTTTTTTTAATTTATCACTGAACTGCAACTAGATGTTTCCACAACTTCGCTTTATACATTTTTGTAGAGAAAACTTTTCAATCCAGATTCCAGTAAATAACCCCGTGAAAAAGGAAAAACTTCCGCCACCAGAGCATATCGTTATGTTCATTTATTTACCAACCGTACCAGGCGGCGGAGCAAGCTTCAAATTTTGGATTTTGCCCATAATAAAACACGTTCCAGCTGCCAGGCGGAACGGCAAAATAGGACCATCCAGGTAGTTTGGACTAGTTTAACTTTCAGCACAACTTTTTTGAATTTTCGTCACTCGTATGAAATGGAAAATTCTTCGGGCTATTTTTTGTAATAATAATGGTTTTGCCGAAACATACAAATGAGGTGAACCTTCTAGGGTGAAATTCATTTAGAAATGTGCCATATAATACTATTTGAAATAAAGAGAGCAGTTTTGTAGGATTTTTTAGCGACTAACCGTTTGTAACCGTGTTATGAACGGTAACTAGAAGTACAGTCGTGAGCATAAAAAGTGGGACACCCGACTGACAGGTCTTGTCATTTTTCGCTATTTTGGGTAAATCAGTATTTTCCTCTTTTCTCTACAATGAATTTTTTGTCAAATATGACAATCCCTGTCATTGACGTAGGTGTAGCTGGTGAGCTCGTTTTACAATAAGAAGAAACGGGTGTCCCACTTTTTATGCTCATGATTGTTCATCATATTTTCAGTTACCGTTTATAAACGGTTAGTCGTGTAACGTGCCAAAATTGACTTATTTTCAGTTTTCCATTCAAAATTCTTTTAATTTTGTTTTCCTTTTTCCTCTATAAAATTTCAACAATAATTACAGTAATTGCAGATCCTGTAAATTTTCTAATCTCCAATATTTAAATTCTATTTTCACTTGTGATGACTAATGATTTTCCTCAGTTTTAATCAATATTTTAATTCCATTTCAAAATCCATTTTCCATGTAAACAAGTCAAATATTCATTTGCCAGAAAATATAATTCTAGGGTTATGTTTCCCATATCGTGATCCGTTTTCAAGGTACAGTCATGAGCACAAAAAGTTAGACACCCGACTGACAGGTCTTGTCATTCTTCGCTATTTTGCGTAAATCAGCCTTTTTTCTACAATCGATTTTTTGTCAAATATGACAATCCCTGTTATTGCCGTAGGTATAGCTGGTGAGCCCGTTTTACAATAGGAAAAAACGGGTGTCCCACTTTTTGTGCTCACGACTGTATGTAACGTATACTGTTCGTACTTTCGTACTCCCCAAGCAACACTGAATGGTTTATTATACGTTTTTATTTTGCCTGAACCAAACGTATAATTTTAGTTAATCATAACGTTTAATCAACGTTCGAATGTCCGCCGAATAAATGTTTTTATTTCGTTACAGATAAATATATTATAAGCGCCAATCATATCCCTATAATAAATGTTACTAAGAAACATATGATTCTTGTATTTAGTCAATGTGTATATTTATGTTCCATAAAATAAATTTTATACGTATATTGTAGACTTCTGATATACGTTTATTTTTTGCCTATACCAAACGAGATTTTGCTGTTTATCAAAACGTTTAATAAACATTTTAATAGCTGCCGAATAAATGTATTTTTTTCGTTATTGCGAAATGTTTTATTAACGTTTTTTGTGGAGTTATAAGTGTAGCGACTTCTAGATAATTTGAGGCCTTCAGCGCAACAACGGACTAAGCTCAAATGAGTAATATTTGAATTTAATAGAAAATAAAAAAGGGCCATTTTATGAAAAAGATTCTACAGAAACGAAAAACGTAGTAACTTTTATTCTAAGTATATTTTTTTGAGCAAAGCGTTTCTTTTTGATATTGGATCATTTTATTTTTTAAATCACGTCGATTTTTGATTTTGATGTGGGTTAGTCCATTTTTACATTTACGCTTTTTTTGGAATAGTCCCTATAAGAGTAATAAGAATAATAAGTAGTTTTCATTATAAAAAGCCAAAAATTTATTCTGGTTCAACATTTTAAGCTTCTTCATCACTAGAGAAATCTACTAAAGGTAGTTCATTGGCAACAATTTGAGCATTGGTCTTAAGACTATTATAGTATGCATGGTGAATTGGTGGAACATAATCTAATAGGCTCATCAGATCTTTCTTTTTTAGAACATTAATTAGGAAAAAGTAAATCTAAATTTCCAATCAGTGTGGTGTTTCGTTTTTCAACTTCAAGTTCGCTGAAATTGGTGATTTCATTATTTGAGTATTTATAAAATATTATAAACGGCGTTTCAGAAGAAAATCTCAGCCACTGAATTTTTAACCACTGAACTTCGTACTTATCAACATCACTTTTTCTGTTTGTGATGTTATTTTCCAATTTTTTTGTAGAAAAGAAATCTTCTGTACCCATACAAATAAGTTTAAAGGGGTTTTTACGTGCCGCCAAAATAACGTTATTCCAGTCTTCTGGAATGAAAATGTTAGGATACGACTTCTTTTTTTTCTCCACAAGACCAAAATCCTGATCGCATGGCGAGTATGAATGTCCACTAACCAAAAATGTATGATCAATTTTTTTAATTGTGTAATCAGGACTAGAAACAATAAACTGACACAAAAGAGAAAGCTTAATGTTTCGGTTTTGGCCACCACACTGATCGGAGTACATAATTAATGTGCCTATTCTGTAAATCACCTTACATCACTGTAAGTTTTAAAGCGCGTAATTTTATATTGCGATGTATAATTGAAACATACATCAAACGCCAAAACTCGTATTCCATAACACCTGGTGTAAAGTACATAGTTACAGTGCCCTGTTTTTAGCGCCCCATAGTAACATTTTTTCAATTTGACAATTTTTGAAGTTGTAATCACAGATTCTGTTGTCTGTCTATGTTTGTTGGTCTCACAGTACGTGGTATCTGTACATTACATTTATCAGAAAAGGTAAGCATGTCTTTGGTTAACATGCATTGGTTTGAGCAAATATATTTTTAAATGAGTTTTTAGTATGGATATGACTAACATAGTTAGTAAAAAACGCAAAAGAACACCAAACACCACTACCGCCCAATATGAGTTGAGAAGTGGTACAGTAGATCCTACTGTTGAACCAGATTACAAAGAGAAGAAATGGAATTTGTTGACTTCAAAACTAAATTCCATTGGAAAAGGACCTGCTTTGACGAAAGAATGTTGGCAAAAGGTAAATTTTTTGTTGCTTCAGGATTCAAGACTTGAGTAAGCACATTTTTAACAGTATGGAATTTGTGATACCACCTTGTCTCAAGTTTAGGCATATTAACAGTTTGTTTACGTTTATTTTGTAGAGGTTTAAAGACTGGAAGAATGCAACCAGGGCCAAATATAGGAAAATGGTTGAATGCAGAAATGCAGCTGGTGGTGGATTGAGCGAAGTCAAAATGGAATTACCGCCTCTTGAAGAGCGAGGCCTTGAAGTTTGGGGAAAGGTAACTGTTACAGGTACTCCGCTTGTAACCATTACAGGAGGAATAAAGCGGCCTCAAACTAAGGAGGATGATATCGCAAACAAGTCACTTGCTGATGAAAGTGATGTGCTCGAAACAAAAACCGTATCATTAGAAGATAATTTGACAAATAAAATAAGGACCTAATTGATGAAATAACCATAGAAAATGAGGGATGTTCTACACAACCTAATCTGATGTTGCCAAAAATTCAGAGAAAGTTTAAACCAAAGAAGCCAAGTATAAAACCCTTGAATGAAACTGCTGATGAATTAAAAATATCGTTTGACCAAACCATAGAGGTATTGAGTACTATTCGTGATAGCCTTGACAGTTTTGTAGAAGCTTATAAACAGAGGAGTAAAACTGAAGAAAAAAGATTGCATTTTGAAATACAGAAGTATAAATACGAACATGATGACTTTGAATTTTCTAACGACAATAATTCCTAATTTTCCTTAATAATATGATATGTAATATGATAATATGGGTTATAGAATGTATGTACAGTCCTGAAAAATAATTAGTAAAATTGACGTTTTTTAATTTATTTAAATTGTTATGATACAAATTAACAGCAAAATCGAGTAAATACCGCTACGGAGATATCCAATATTTTGGACAGTAGTAGGTTTGTTCAGATTATATTTTCCCTTATATAGTTTTGTCTTGTTTGTCTTCCCAAATTGGCAATGTCATCAAAATTTATTTCATTGTGGTCCTGCTCTGGTTCATCATCCTCATTGTCTTCATCATCATTTGCATCTAACAAAGGGACATGTTCTTGTAATGCCATATTATGTAAAACTGTACAAGCATAAATAATGTAGGCTGCCTGCTTGGATGGTACAAAAGGGTTCTGTGCCTAGATAGGCAACAGAACCGTCTTTTAAATATCCCATTTGTCCGTTCTATGACGTTTCGAGCACTTTTCAGGATGTTGTTATACCTTTCTTCAGGAGTATTAGGCCGGGTCGCTAAAAAAGGAGTTAAAAGCCAAGGTTCACTTCCATAACCACTATCTCCAATAAGAAAAGATCCTCGATTGCCTTCATCATATCTTCTTCTCAAGTGATTCCTTACTCCTGAAGTTCTAAATATGGCGGCATCATGGACGGAACCTGGATATCTAGCATCTACAGCTAATATCTTTTGATTTGCATTACATATAAGCATAACATTAATGGAATGTTTTCCTTTTCTATTGATATAATAATATACAAATGGAGGATGGTCAATATCGGTTCTAGGAGGTGCAATTATTTCAACGTGAGTTCCATCAATCGCTCCTATAATTCCTCTCATGCCCCAACTCTCATAAAATCCTATCTTATTTGCATTTTCTTGTTCAATATTTATGGGAAAATTTACCCAGTCGTCCAACAAATGTTCAGTAATAAGTTGACATACCTCAGATATTGAACGGCTGATGATAGGTTGGCTCATACAAGTCCACCCTGATAGTCCAACTGCCTTTTGGAAAGACCCATGCCCCAAAAAATGCATTGTTGCTAGTACCCGTAAGTGCAAAGGAATCCTTGACTGTCTTCTCCTTTGTTGAGCATGGGGTCGGATAGTTTCAATAACATTCCTAATTACATTTTTGGATAATCTGAACATTTGTATGAACTGGTCATCTGGCAACTCGAAAGCATTTTGATTGTCTCTAAGCTTACGCCTTTCAAGACGCATTTTGTTACTAAAAAAAAAAACTTGATTTTTGATGAAAAAGGTATCATATTTACCGTCTATAGTTCTCCTGGTATAAATCAAATACAAACTGTATTAACGCCATAAATAACTATTTCACTCAAACCATTTCTTGTTGCGATTTTATGCGACAAAAAAGACTTTTATGTTTTAAAACTTCAAAAATGTAACAGTATGTCTTCATTTCCGGTGACGTAAATTTATAGTAGGTGTAAGAGTACTTTACAGCGCGATGTAAGTTACAGAATTTCTTTTTTGTTACATCCTGACGGATCTCAAATTTGCATCCCTTACAGTACGTTACATCGCATACAGAATCGCACCATAAGTATTCTGTTGTAACAAATTTCTTTATAAAACTTAAAATACAAGATTCGATTTCTTGAGGACCCCGAGAGGCCACTGACTCGTTCCAAACACACATGTAAACATCGTCGTTTCCCATATTGTGGATACCAAAACAATACGTCCATAGTTGTCGATTGTAGTAACAAACGCCTGTTGAGAGTAAAGGAGTAGGTAATGTTTTCATCAGGTCGAATGTAATGACTGTTACTTCAAGGTTGTTTTTAGCCAATTCAGTGTCTTTTTGAAGACCATTACGTGCACTGCTTGCCTTTCTTTGGTGCAATTCCAAGTCCTGTTCCAGATATCGCTTGTCAGCTTCGGTTTCCGCAGCTTTGATTTTAATCGCATATGCATCACATTTTCTGCAAGAATCTGATACAGGTGGATGGAACGATAGATTAAATTCCTCGTTAAAAACTTTTCGAAACACAAAATTTGACACAGGATTTTCGACTTGGTTGGTGTAGAGCGAGTAGAGTTTGGTGATGTTTAAGTCAGAAGCCAAATATTTGCGATTTTTCGATTTGTGAAGAGCATAGTGGCTTTCGTATGCTGGAAATTTTTCGATAAAAACCTTCAACTCGGCAATTTTATCCGCTGATGTCTTATTTGCAGCTGGAGCTTTTCCTCTGCGGTCACAGGGAGGGGTAGACAATTGCCCTTTAACTTTGAGAATTCTATCTATCCTTCCAGCTGATACTTTTAATGTATTTTGGAAGAACTCTTTGCACACCTTAACTTCAACTCCACTAGCATCAATCAAACAATAGACACGTCGTGTTTTTTGTCTTCTAGAATTAGTATTCTCAGTGTAAGTGCGTTGTTTATTACATACTTTTACGATGGTAAATAAATATGGCATTTGTTATTACAACGACAGGGACCTGTTTTTGGTTGTTTTTGAGGTACAATATTTCCTTTCAGGCGCTTGTTCTTTCTAACATTTCTTTTCCATGTTTGTTCTTTTTTTACACGCTTTCTTCCTTTTGCCTAGTTCTTGCTCTGCTCGCACGATTTTCTGGCCTTGCTTTGGTTGCTCGGTTTGCACGCCTTGCTCTGCTTGCTCGGTTTGCAGTCCTTGCTCTGGTTGCTCGGTTTGCTCTGGAGACTCTGCGTCTGAATCTGCACCACTTTCGTTGGAAGAGTCGCTTGTCTCAGAAGGATTGTATTCGGAGCCAGAATCAGCAAATTCAGGAGGTTCTTCACCCTCCTCAAACAACAAACCTGAGAATATGAAAATATTTGATTGGTTGATTTTTTACTAGAAATTACCTCAAACTCACGTAGCAGTTCCTTTTCAACGGATTTATCCATTGGGCTGATTCACAGAATCACTAAACAAATCAAACAACAAATAAATGCAAATTAAACAGCTTCTAAACACGACTTTTTTTCCAAATTTCTAGAAATGTGATAAATAAACATAACCTATTAAATCACATGTGTCCAAAATTACAAGTGCAAAAATGGACTAACCCGCTTAGTCCATTCTTGCATTTCAAAATATTTAAAACTACCAAATGCAATAACGGTTTAAGTGCTACTATCTAGTGGATATGAAGTAAAGGTGGCTTAGACCATTTTTACATTATACTTTATCTTATATGGATGCTATCAGATGCCATTATTGAAACATTGATGAATGTGTGGCTTAGTCCATTGAAGGCCTAATTTCAGCCCATATCTTGCAAATCTTAGCTTCACAGCATCTGTATACAGAAAAACAAATTAATATTTAAGGACTTGCCTGGCTCCGTCGTGTCGAAAAAACTTACCATTATATAAATTAAACATCTTTGTTTCCTTGTACGGATATTTTTGTTGGTACCGCTTATGTTTGGGAGCAGATCTATCCCACTTGAATCGCATCCCCAGGATTCAAAAGCATTCATGTTCTTTCTTACGATCTATTGGCTGGATAAAGGGCGGTGCAGGGCTTGCGGAAAGTAACTATCTAAAATAATGTGACATGGGGCGAACCGAATGGTTTCTAGAACAAAATTGCGACATGCAGGGTTCATTTGTGGCTGAAGAATAATAAATTACTTACCCAATCAGTAGTTGACGTTGTTCAATTATTGCAAAACAAACAAAACCTAAATTTTACAATCGCAAACGTTGATTTTATATGCATGCGAAATGCAAAATGGCTGACAGCTGGCGTCTTTTTCGTATGCGCGTGGCTTTGGAACAGCATAATCACACAATAGACAAGTAGCAGAACAGCGTATGCTTAGAGGGCGCCACAGAACCGACCGCCTTGCGCCAGGGAGCAAGTCGTTCAGGATTTGCGCAACCAAGGTCATGTGGACTGCGTCTACCGCTTCGATTTGTTGTCTATGATCGTACTTCCGGAACGTGCCGAACGTGCGTTCGTTTCCATAGACGAATCTCGAGGACGAGTTGGAAACGTGAAATCATTTATAAAACATTTACAAAAAATCAAATAAATACTAAATAGTAAACTGATTAATGACGTGATGACAGCTGAGATAATTATATTAATATTTATAAATTAAAGAGCTGAAGTACCTAATTGCTATTTTGTCTTTATTAGGACCTCGTATACCCGTACCTACATCTATTTATATTATAGGTAGGTACCTAAAACTTATATCGGCAATGCAGGATAATTGAGCTAAAGGATTAAAAAAAGTGTTTATGAAATACATTTATTAAAGGCTAATATCCCAAGTTAATAATATAATTTATGGAAAACGTGTAATAAACGATAATACTGTTCGTCTATAAAACCATTACGAAAAATTGTGTATATACAAATATAAAATGATGCCGTTGATTATTTAAATTCTTTAAATAGCTATCTGAATTAGACAGGAAGGTAAATTTCACCATAGCAGTACTGAAATCTAGAGGATAATCCGAAGTAGTTCTATAATGTAGTAGATCATGTATGTTTATTATTCGTATTCAAAAATTGTCGTTTATTATATACGTTTAAAAATAATACCATTACCAAAAATAAACGAATTTTTCGTTTAATAAACATTTATTAAACTATTCGGTGTTGCTTGGGTCTGTTCGTTTGCTGAACTCAGTACCAGTTTTAGTTCTGCTCCCGCTCCCATCATTGGTTCCATGAACCACCGGATTGCTCTGTTTGCTCTCTATTTTTATAATGACACTTGACGCTCAAGTCATGTCACTCGTGATTTGTGTCCCAGCTGACTGGTGAAGTGTCGTTCATTTTTGTCAATTGGCTTTCGATTAGTAATGTTTTTGGGATCATCGATTCCTAGTAAGCGCTTACGTTTTGCAACACGAATTGCTTACTCAATGTCGTATTCTTCGAAATATGATTGTTCTACTGGATAATTACTTCTTGTTATTATCATAAGTCGTTAGCTCTTGTCATTTTTCTCTGATTATATTGTTGTGTGCAATTTTTGGTACGTGAAAATTCTATCGATTAATTTTTGACGTTTGTCGTTATTCTGACTCGTCTCTGAATCCTTACTTTTAGGACAGCTAGTTAATTTTATGTGGTGCTCATTTCTTTTCACATTTGGTGGTTGGAGAAATAAGGTCTTTCGGAAGAGTTAACTTTGGTCTTCGCCTTTGTGGGATTTTGACCTTTTATTCTCAATTATTGAATTTATGACACATTGTGTTGCCTTACTTTACGTTACGTTTTCGTAAAGTCCTATTAATTTCGCCGATTAATTCGGATTTTTAACTACCATCCATGTGGTAAGTTTTGCTTTGCAGTTTTTGTTGCCACGGTGGATTTTGACCTTTTCTATTTAATCATTAGTGAAAGGCTGCCCTAAAAGCTGTGATAGTATACAGTCAAACTATCCACAGGCGGAAATTGTCTTTTTAGGCGATCTCAACGTCCACAATATACCCTGGCTGAAACACCACAACAAAACAGATAACGAAGGCAGAGAAGCAGAAGCTTTTGCCATAAGTTGTGGTCTAACGCAGCTTGTCGATGAACCTACCCGTATCTCAGAAAGGGGCGAATTTGCAGCGCTTTTAGACTTGTTCCTAACCACAAATCCTGACTCGTACACAATTCAAGTAGATGCTCCACTTGGTTTGTCCGATCATAAACTTATAATAACAAAGTGCGAAATGCTCATCCCACCAAGCCAACAACCACTTCCTCGTAAAATGTGGCACTATAAATCGGCAAAATGGAATGACCTAAAACAGTTTTACCTGCATTTTCCATGGCAAGAGGTTTGCTTTAAAACAGCTGATCCCACTATTTGCTGTAATGAAATAACACAAGTAATCTTATCTGGAATGGATGCATATATCCCACATACAACTAAACGTAGAGCTAATGCAAAACCTTGGTTCAACAGCCAGTGTCAAACGGCTGTACAGAAAAAACACAGAGCATATAACCTTTGGAAACGACAACAAACCGCTCAAAACCACACAGAATTTATAGAAGCCAGAAATAGTTGCAAAATTACTATTGACTCCGCTAAATAAACATACAATCAAAGAATAAAAAACAGGTTGCTGAATTGTCCAAGTAGTTCTAGGTCCTTTTGGTCTCTTGCAAAAGCTGTTGGATCTAACTTCACCAAGTCATCCATACCACCACTTACAGATAAAAATAATCACTTAGCCACAACATTAGAGGAAAAAGCCAATATGCTGGCCCAAATGTTTTCCTCCAACTCCAACCTAACAGTGCCAAACGGAAAAACTCCACCGTTCATTGAAAGGGTTTCCCATAGTATGCCAGAGGTACCCTTTTGTAACAGAGAAATACGAAAATCCCTTAAAAAGCTAGATACAAACAAAGCAATGGGTCCGGATGGCATTCCTGCAATAGTACTCAAAAACTGCGCCAACGAACTCACCCCAACTTTCGCAAAATTATTCAATTTGTCTTACAGGCAAGGAGTATATCCATCATCATGGAAGTCTGCCGCAGTACAACCCATTCCAAAGAAAGGAAAAAAGACAGACCCGTTAAACTATAGACCAATTGCTCTACTTCCGGTGATATCAAAAGTAATGGAAAGAGTTGTGAACAATCACCTAACCAAGTACTTGGAAAAGTACAAAATTATCAACGATAAGCAATACGGATTTCGAAAATATAGGTCAACTGGCGATTTACTTACATACGTCACTCACTTATGGCAAAAAGCGATTGAGTTGCGCGGTGAAACAAGAACAATTGCCTTATATATATATATATATATATATATATATATATATATATATATATATATATATATATATATATATATATATATATATATATATATATATATATATATATATATATATATATATATATATATATATATATATATATACAGAGTATCTTGACCGGAGAATTTATAAACAATGGGAGTTTCTTGGGGTATCGGTCGTCTTGAAGGGCTAGGAAATAAAAATCTCTTTTTCCACTAAGCCGAGCTTTCGGCAATTATTTATTGCCTTCGTCAGGGCTACAACAATATAAAAGATCTTATTATTATGAATAATCAAAACTATGACTAGGACATATAAATTTTTAACTATAACTTACTTGCAAAGTGAGAATTTTATAGTCGAAAAGCTTTCAAATTGTCGGAAAATTGTTGTTATTCTATTTTGACTATCAAACTGTACAGAATATAAATGTTAAAAATATGGAAAAATAATTAATAAACAATAATTGATAGATATAAGAAAAATAGAAGAGATAGAAGAATATGTAGAATAAAATTTTGAAGTGTATAAATACTAGTTTCTCATAGACATTGATTTTTGGTGTCATCACTAGACCAGTTAGGTAATTTTAGGAATAAATTTAATTAGATGTAAGTAGGTTCGAATAAATACTACTGAGATCTTGAATATCCTTTCTTTTATTTAGGCATAAAG